CCTCTGTGGAGATGGGAGAACCTTCCAGAAGGACAACCATCTCTGCAGCACTCCACCAATCAGGCCTTTATGGTAGACGGAAGCCGCTCCTCAGTAAAAGGCACATGACAGCCCTCTAGGAGTTTGCCTAAACGACTCTCAGACCATGAGAAACATGATTCTCTGGTCTGATGGAACTCTTTGGCCTGAATGCCAAGCGTCACTTCTGGAGGAAACCTGGCACCATCCCTACGGTGAAGCATGGTGGTGGCAGCATCATGCTGTGGAGATGTTTTTCGGCGGCAGGGACTGGGAAATCGAGGGAAAGATGAACGGAGCAAAGTACAGAGAGATCCTTGATGAAAACCTGCTCCAGAGCGACTGGCGTGAAGGTTCACCTTCCAACAAGACAACGACCCTAAGCACACAGCCAAGACAATGCAGGAGTGACTTCGGGACAAGTCTCAGAATGTCCTTGAGTGGACCAGCTAGAGCCTGGACTTAAACCTGATGGAACATCTTTGGAGAGACCTGAAAATAGCTGTGTAGCAACACTCCCCATCCAACCTGACAGAGCTTGAGAGGATCTGCAGAGAAGAATGGGAGAAACTCCCCAAATACAGGTGTGCCAAGCTTATAGCGTCATACCCAAGAAGACTCAAGGCTGTAAGGTGCTTCAACAAAGTACTGAGTTAAAGGTCTGAATACTTACGTAAATGTGACATTTCTAAACCTGTTTTTGCTTTGTCATAATGGGGTATTAATATGTGTGTAGATTGATGAGGGGGGGAAAAACAATTTAATCCATTTTAGAATAAGGCTGTAACGTAACAAAATGTGGAAAAAGTCAAGGGGTCTGAATACTTTCCGAAGGCACTGTATGTACACTGTTTGCTTGCAACCAGGCTGTGCCCTGCCTCCTAAAGTTTGTTTAGCAGACAAGGAAAGAAGCCAGACACACACTCAACTCAGTTTAAAATGGGCAAAAGTACTGACATTTTGACAGTCTCTAACATCTTTATAATTTGGTCAGATATATAGACTAATAAGCCTGAAAACTTGCTGAAGCTTGTTAAATAATAGGGAGATTTATCTAACCAAGCCAACCCCGTATTCATTTGGCTGCTGATCCAGCCTCTCCAGCAAATGTGTGTTTTGTGTATTATAATTCCATGGTTTTCTTTTTTCAAGCAAGGCTTTGAAGAGCAAGGCGCTGTGTGGAAAATGCCTTTGAGATCGGTCCTGATCTCATCCTGGCCGCAACGGCTCTTCTCAACTTCCTGAGGTCGCAGAAGAGTGCGGTGTGCTCACCTCCAGAGTTGGTGGACAGGGAGGATGTGGGGAGTGGAGTGGTGATGCCTGGCCAGCAGTGGTGTAAAATTACTTTAAAGTACAACTGAAGTAGTTTTTTTGGGTATCTGTACTTTACTATTTATTTTTTAACAACTTTTACTTCACTACATTCCTTAAGAAAATATTGTACTTTTTACTCAATACATTTTCCTTGACACCCCAAAATACTCGTTACATTTGAATGCTTAGCAGGACAGGAAAATTGTCCAATTCACTCACTTATCAACAGAACATCCCTGGTCATCCCTACTGCCTCTGATCTGGTGGACTCACTAAACACACATGCTTTGTTTGTAAATTATGTCTGAATGTTGGAGTGCCCCAGGCTATCTGTAAATAAATAAAAAAACATGAAAATTGTGCCTGGTTTGCTTAATATAAGGAATTTGAAAGGATTTATACTTTTACTTTTGATACTTAAGTGTATTTTAGCAATTACATTTAGTTTTGATACTTAAGTATATTTTAAGCCAAATGCTTTTAGACTTTTACTCAAATAGTGTTTTACTGGGTGACTTTTACTTGAGTAATTTTCTATTAAGGTATCTTTACTTTTACTCAAGTATGACAGTTGGGTACTTTTTCCACCACTGTTGTCCAGTGGCGCTCCGAGGCTCCTACAGAGTCCATGCTGGATATCGGGGCAGGTTCCAGCAATAATTAAGCCAGTGAAGTCAAGAATGTCAGAGAACAAGGACAACTTCAACTCGCCAGAGGGTGCAGTCAGCTGGCAGCGGAACCTTTTCCAATAACCACTGTCACACTTTAACACCACATTGCTGTAGCCCTAATTATTTCAGAAACTATTATGGCAACTTTTTTTTGTTGTTGTTGCCTATATCAATTAAAATCTGTTGAATTCCATTTCATGCATAATGTTTTTACTTATCCATCGTAATAATAAAATAAAAATGTTTAGGGTAATGAGTCACATCTGTAGGTTAATCGATTGTAATAATTAGTGTATGCACTATAAATACATATAAACACAAACATATAATTCAACATTTCAATATCTCTGCTCTCTCAATTCTCACTCACTACTTAAATCTTGAAAAATATACTTTAGCAGCAAATGATGGATGTCCACTTTAGGCCATCTAGCGAAGTCTTTGTTGCATCTCCTTGGTAGCAGCCCCAAAAACTGCAGATGGATCAGACTGTGGCTGTGTGTGCTGGTTCTCGTAAAATAACATTTTTTTCCAAAAGCATCTTCTAAAAGTAGTTGAATCACATGATCTAAATCGGTGTTTCTCAATAGGAACACTTACTGGTCTTGTAGTTGAAGATGGCTTGGCCATATTGTTCTAGCTTTACCATGGTCTAAATGTGTCCCCCAGGAAGTCCAGCCGGGTGAAGTACCCATCAACAGATGTAAGCAGCATCAGCCTCTGCCCCCCTCCACCTTCTTGACCTGCCTGCTGTAGATTCATCCTATGATGCAGAATTTGTCCTTTATATCTGCAGCTGTTGTGAAGAAGAAGATTAAAAAATAAAATATCATACTTTTATTATCCAGACAAGACAGAAATGTATACGCGCACACACAAACACACATTAGTTGGAACATACTGTACATAGGGGTTTGGTTAGATAAATCTGCCAATTATTTAACAACCTTCAGCAAGTTTTCATGCTCATTAGTCTTTACATCTGACCAAATTATGTAGACGTTGGAGGATGTCAAAAAATTTCACTACTTTTGCCCACTTTAAACTGAGTTGAGTGTCTGGCAACGCAGGAGTGGCTTCGGGACAAGTCTCTGAATGTCATTGAGTGGCCCAGCCAGAGCCCGGACTAGAACCCGATCGAACATCTCTGGAGAGACCTGAAAATAGCTGTGCAGCAACGCTCCCCATCCAACCTAACAGAGCTTGAGAGGATCTGCAGAGAAGAATGGGAGAAACTCCCCAAATAAAGGTGTGCCAAGCTTGTAGCATCATACCCAAGAAGACGCAAGGCTGTAATCGTAGCCAAAGGTGCTTCAACAAAGTATTGAGTAAAGAGTCTGAATACTTATGTAAATAAGGTATTTCCGTTTTTTCGTTCTAATAAATTAGCAAACTTTTTTTTTTTAAATCTGTTTTTGCTTTGTCATTATGGGGTATTGTGTGTAAATTGATTTTATAAAAAAAATCCATTTTAGAATAAGGCTGTAACGTAACAAAATGTGGAAAAAGTCAAGGAGTCTGAATACTTTCCGAATGCACTATATAGAAAAATACACGTTTTAAAACTTCGACCAGTCGATTGGTCGAAAGGACAGCCCTAAAAGATAGGCCTACTGACTGCTTTTCTGATCCATGCCCCTACCTTTTTTGGGGGGGTATGTATATCTGTGAACAACAGATGCATATCTGTATTCCCAGTCATGTAAAATCTATAGACTAGGGCCTAATTTATTTATTTAAATTGACTGATTTCCTAATAGGAACTGTGTAACTCAGTAAAATCTTTGAAATTGTTGCATGTTGTGTTTATATTTTTGTTCAGTGTGCTTATATTTTTATACCATTGCATTGTTGAATCCTTTTTCTGATTGGCTTGAAGTACATTCTAGAGTGTGCATTATTTCCCTATAACGCACGGTATATCAAGCACAAAGAATTTAATGGTTATAGTTCATTCTTACATGTTTTATGTTTCAGCTGCTTTTGAAATCGAATCGAAGTCGAATTGAAAACATTATTGGCGTTGTTGAATTCGAATATTCATAATAGGGAGCTAGGACTGATTGTTTGGTTAGCTAAACTAGCAAGTCTGTTTGTTAGCTACTGTAGTGGCCTTGGTAACCTATCTAGTAAGCTTGCTAGCTACATCAGTGGATGTTAAACACATTTCTGCGGCAAATGTGTTAGATTATAGCCATGGTACAATGTCAGAGTCCGGAATATGTAAGGGATAATCAACAAGGGGCTATGTGTTCTCTGGAAAAGAATGCAACGCTGTGGATGGTTAGTTCCACTCCGTTAGCGCGTTGTGTAACAAACCTACGTTGTTCATTATTTTCCATAGAACGCATAGCCCCTCGTTGATTATCCCTTAAATATTCAGCACTCTGACATTGCTCGTTCTGATATTTCTTGATTTCTTTATTTTTATTTTGGGGTTTTGTTTGTATTGTTAGGTATTACTGCACTGTTGGAGATAGAAACATAAGCATTTCGCTTTACCTTCGATAACATCTGCTAAATATGTGTACGCGACCAATAACATTTTATTTATTTGATTAAAGGCCAAAGTCTAAGAGTCAGACCACTGTGCATTAAAGGCCTAAGTCTAATTCCAAATCATTCAGTGGTGTCAATGAAATCATTTTGCAAAACATTCAGTTACATGCATGGTTGGATTGTACGTTTAGATTCAACCCCACATGACGAAGATTTCATACAGATGAAATATCCCAGAAATCAGATCTAAAAGATCCTTGAATGGTTCGTTTACACAGGCAGCCCAATTTTGATATTTTTTCACTAATTGGTCTTTTGACCAATCACATCAGATCTTTTCACATCAGATCTTTTTCAGCACTGATCTGATTGGTCAAAATACCAATTAGTGAACAAATATCAGAATTGGGCTGCCTGTGTAAATGCCAAACAGATCTAATAGGCTAGATCCTAATCGCTAACAGATCTTTTCAAAGATAATTTTCTCCCCCAGGTCTAATGGAGATCCTACCGGGTCCTGTAACAGATCCACTAACAGAACCTTTCCAACCCCCAGGTCTAATGGAGGTCCTCCCAGATCGCTGCACCATGGTTGCCAAGAAGGAGCTGGTGTACGCAGGCACTGTGGGCATCGTGTGCTGGCTGGGCGGTATTGTCTTCATCAACCGCCAGAAGACAAGCGACGCCAAGAGTGTCATGGCCGACGCTGCCAAGACCATGCTGGACGACCAGGTAATTCAACAGAACTAACCTATTGGACCGGATTAATACATACCCCCCTGCTGTGCTCTGGAGCCTTCAATGTAACGACTACTTCCATTCTAAAAGCCCAAAAATGTATGATTGGTAATGATGTCAGAGAGTGACATACTGTTAGATCATAAGACTTTGAATGACTGACTTATTTAATTCCCAAGCCAATATATCCTGAAACGTAACCCATTCAAGTGTGTATACTTGATATTTCTTTTTTTTCCCCCCATGCTTATTTCTGGCTTAGTGTCTAGACCTCTCCACCACTGATATTCACATACTGTGTCCATGCTTCCACATGGGCCTCACCTTTGACCCCTAACCCGTGGCCTTTGCCCCCTGTAGATCCGTCTGTGGGTGTTCCCAGAGGGTACGCGGAACCAGAGGGGTGACCTGCTGCCCTTCAAGAAGGGAGCCTTCCACCTGGCAGTGCAAGCGCAAGTGAGCCACAGGGCCGTGTGTGTTTGAGAGTGTGCGTGCATGCCTCTATTCCGGTGTTCACAAGGGGGAGCTAACAACTTAGCATGGATACTGACTGAACATCATCTGAATTGCAGAGGACATTTTCACTACCTTTGGCATAGATGGAAGACAAAGAGAGAGCCAGAGTAAGAGAGAGCGCCAAAGGAGAGAGAGAGACTGAGAGAAGCAAAGACCAAGGGAGCGTTACAGAGGGAGAGAGAGACCCAGAGCGCCTAATGGAAAGGGTTTCTAAAGTAGCAGATAGAGGGCGATATAGGATGAGTGTTGGAGGGAGAGAGAGAGGGTGAGGGAGACAGACGGGTGGAATAAATTAAAGAACAACGTTACATGAAACAGAGCCAAACAAACGCTGCAGGTTCACTCCAGGTTATGAGGTGTTGAAGTGTGTGCGAATGTGTGCTTATTGTACAGTGTCTGTGTAGCCTGTGTTCAATGTAGGCCTTGTGCGCCTGCATGCTCAAAGGTTGTGTGTGTAGATGTGTATCAGTGGATAGATCCGAGAGAAAGACCTGCTGGTCCATATTAACTAACACATAAACATCTGAGGTGTTTACAATACTATTAGCACATGACTGTTGTGCTCCAATGCAGAGCTAACGCTATCTCTAGATCTGCCTCGGCAGGGCTGGAGGAGATGGTGCCTGTGCCCGCGTGCCCATAGATGTGTGTAGCCCAGTCAGCCATGCATGTCTTTGTGTTCATGTTGTTTGTCTTTGTCTTGCCTGAGGGAGGGAAACATCCTTGAAAAGTAGATTATACTTGTTGGTTTGTGATCTTGGAAAATATAATGGTATTTTGGTAAATCGAATGTGGAACGAACTGTCATGGTAATTCTCTCTTTTCTCTCTCGCTTCTCTTTCTCTCTGTTCCAGGCTCCTATCATTCCCATCGTGTTCTCCTCCTACAGTAACTTCTACCTACGGAAAGAAAAGCAGTTCAACTCGGGTACAGATGTTTGTAGTTCATATTGAAAAGGGCTTATCCACAGCTACTCTTGACATAAATGGCTCATTATATTATTTATAGAAAGATGTTGTCCTATGCTTGTATGCAAACACGATGATGAGGGTTATTGTGATGATGATGATGATGATGATGCTATGCTCTAACCAGGGACCATCACACTGAAGATCCTTCCAAAGATCGAGACGAAGGGCATGACGTCAGACGACGTGGCCGACCTCTCCGACAAGTCCTACGACCTCATGCGCTCTGTCTTCCTGGACATCTCTGGCTCTGCCCCCGTAACCCAGAGCAACGGGCCCTCCTCGCACCACTAAACATGAACAACCCTCCTCCTCGTTCTCCTGTCCGAGATACCAAACTCTTTCCCCCTCTTCTCTCCCCTCCGCATCGTCCTAGCTCCCTACCTACCTACTTACAAATGAAGTCAAATATATTGGCACCCTCGCACTTTACAGTGGAGCAGAATGTTCTGTCTTCCCTTTTTTACCCTGTAGGCACATTCTTTTACTTTGAAGTGAATAATCTCAATTTCAGTAATACAATAAAAAAGTGTATTGGGCCTGTGCAGTTGTAAATCAAACAAATACATGTGTGAACACCAAATGTTTTTAAATGTCAACTTATCTTAAAATAAATCGTGAATCGCGCAAGGGTGCCAATATATTTGAGTGTATCTCTACCAGGACAGAACGCACACCGGGTCTCTGTCATGATCTCTTCTCTGTTTTCTGTTGTTTTGGCCTGGTCTAGTTTTGGTTGTGGTTGGTTCCTGGTCCGACCCAGCCCAGTACAGTCCAGCCCTGACCTCTCACTGCAGCAGCTCTGTTTGCTCTGCAGGTTAGAATAGAACGGTATGGATGTGATGTGAGTTCATCATGCATTCCTTTAGGATAGCTCTGTTGTCCACCTTTTTGTTGTTTTGTTGATCTGTTTTTAAGAGGCTTTATGGTTTGCCTTTTTTCCCCCTCCCTCCCTCCCTCCCTCCGGCTTGACTTTTGATTGTCATAAATGTCACCAGTGGATACTTATACCTTTTTTCTTAATGCGCTCTTAAAGACACGCACAACACACAACCACCCTGCTTAAAACACACAACCACCCCACCGCCCAGCACCACATCCCACCCAACCCCAGTATATCCTCCCCTGTTCTGCATTCCAGCCTCTTGCCTCTGTGAAGGAGAGGGGGAACAGAGGGTCTGGACCAGGGGGTCTGTAGAACCAGGGTCTGGACCAGGGGGTCTGTAGAACCAGGGTCTGGAGGGGAGGTGGAGGGCAACAGAGACATGAGGAGAGGTCAACAATAGTTGACTAGGGACTTGTTCCTTATCTGTGTCTCAGTGGAATCCAATTTATATCGTTACATACATACATACATACCACACTGGCTTCTCAACCACCTGATCACAATAGCTCAATAATAATAATATGCCATTTAGCAGACGCTTTTATCCAAAGCGACTCACAGTCATGCGTGCATACATTTTTGTGTATGGGTGGTCCCGGGGATCGAACCCACTACCTTGGCGTTACAAGCGCCATGCTCTACCAGCTGAGCTACAGAGGACCACACTGATATACTGTACCATGATATACTGTACCATGATATACTGTACCACGACAAGGGATACAAAACATGTACAAAGAACAACGAAGACGAGAACCATCATCAATGAATTCATGGACTTTACTGGACTCATCAGTTTCCAAACATTGTGCATTGTTGGTGTACTACACAGATGTTCTTATTTTTAATTTTCTAACCACCTAAGAAATAACCTGCATGTAACATTGAGCAAAGTGTTTTTGTTTTTTCAGCTGTGTTCTATATTTCTCTTTATTTATTTCTACATCATATGGTGTTTTTATTTTTATGTGACTTTTATGTCTTAAAGTTCTGTTCTTCGTGTGTGGAGAACCTATTGAAGAAGTGTCAAAGGTGATTTCATGAAGTGCAATGTCCAGCTGTTCAAGAAAAACTGTTCCAAAGTGCAAGAGTTCTGGGATGTATTCATTACATATTGCATCGGAAACCGTTTTAAGAGCCAAACAAAGCAAATGGAGCAAACGGAACGAAACGGGGCGGGATCTACTTGAATTTGTCCAATAGAAACTCTGGTTTTTGTTGGCAAAAGTGTGCTAGTGTTTAAAACAACACATTGGGGAGTGATCTAGATGTAACACGGGTACAGTACGAAGTGTTCTAATTAGGGGAGTGTTTTAAATGTAACACGTGACGGTTAAAGTGTGACCACCCCGTGATCTGTTAGTGATTGATCGGTTTTACGGTTTCAGTCCTCGCTGCACTGCAGAGACGATGGTATCGTAATGATATCAGGAGGCTTAACATCTCAAATCTAATCATGTTTGACGTGGTTAAGTTCTCTTTTGTTTTAATGTTAATCTTAACTTGAATGTTTACTAACTACTAATAAACCCTGCTTGTCCCAGCCTACACCCCCAAAACACATCTCAGAAGAGGTGAAATGGGAATCAACACCAACCTGTATTTTGGTAACCATCATGAAAGCAGTCCCCATAGTTCAGTAACATATACCCAAATATGTTGTATAATTCATTTTCCCAGGAAATTGACAATTGCTAAACAGCACAGTAACATTTCTTTATTAGCTAAGTCTTGTGCATTCTTTGCTTGGCAAAATGTTCCTTATTGTTACCTGGTAACTATACTGAACAAAAATTTAAACGCAACAATTTTAAAGATTTGACTGAGTTACAGCTCATAGAAGGAAATCAATCAATTGAAATTCATTAGGCCCTAATTTATGGATTTCACATGACTGGGCAGGGGCACAGCCATGGGTGGGCCTGGGAGGGCATAGAACCACCCACTTGGGAGCAAAGCCCACCCATTGGGGAGCCAGGCCCAGCCAATCAGAATTTGTTAGGGGGAAAAACTTTATTACAGACAGAAAACTGCACATTTTAGAGTGGCTGTTTATTGTCCCCAGCACAAGGTGTACCTGTGTAATGATCATGATGTTTAATCAGCTTCTTCATATGCCACACTTAAATTACCTTGGCAAAAAATAAATGCTCACTAACAGGGATGTAAACAGATGTGTGCACAATATTTGAGAGACAAGCTTTTTGTGCCAATGGAACATTTTTGGGATCTTTTATTTCAGCTCATGAAACATGGGACCAACACTTTACATGTTACGTTTATATTTTTGTTCAGTATAGAAGGGCTGCTGTCAGAGTGGTCACCTTAGCTTTATACTTGATAAACCGGTGCTTTTCCTAATATAGGGGAATGGGGAAGAGGGATACAGGCATAGGAGAATATTAAATTGATGTTTTTATCGATGGATGGTGTATCATATGTAGAACTCTGAGGGGAAAAGGCGTTGTCTATTTTTAAAGGAAGGAAGGAATTGGCTGAATGTTTTTGGCCTTGTTTTCAAGGTAGTAATAATCAAAGTTCGTAAACTTGTGAGGTTTTATATTTTGTAATTAATAGACAGGTGACTGGAATGACTGAAATACTTTTGATGTATGGCAACGCAGCTTCTTATCATTATAATTTGTATCCAGATTTTGACATTTTTTATATTCACTGCCTTTACATTACAGTTGGCTAATATGACGTCACTTGAAACTTTTTGCCCGTCAAAAACACCGGTCTGAGAATGTATTTCAGGATTATTTGTGTACTACTTATTGCATTTAACACTTTCTTTTTCAATCCTTTTTGAATTTTCAAGTATAACTTATTTCAATGGAATGTTGTCTTGCATACAGTCGGTTTCTGACACTAAGAAATGTCAATTATTAATTGTATTTATTTAGAATTAAGGTAAAATTAAGTGTTTAATTCGTTTATCTCCAGCATTTTTCTTTGGTGTGCACCCAAACTTCCTGAGGAACAGGGTTGAGGGTCAATCAATTTAAATTCAGTCAATTCCAAAAACAAATGACATTTCAATTTCAATTATCCTCAACGCTTCTCTGAAAAATGTGTAATTAGAATTTCAGTTTACTTCCTGAATTGACTGAATTGAAAATGGAATTGATTGACTCCAACTCTGCTGAGCCGCTCATGCTGTAGGAGTGAAATCATCTATTCTTTGTCTGGTATTAAACCTGTATACGAGGCCTCTTCATAGTCGAGTGGCTGCAGTAGCTTTACCGGTACCTGCTGGGCTCTTGGCTTACTTGGCTCCTAGGAGTAAATCAACTCAAGGCTCGGGCTTTCCTCATCTTTATGTTCTTGAAGGCCAGTACCACAATGTAAGGAATATACATACGCCAGTCGGTCCGAATACATCAAATTAATCTGTGACATTCGTTTTTGTTAATAGAAGTATATATTAACGAGAGTAAGTCTTTCATGGTTTTTGTTGTTGCTTATCTTCAAATGGAGTGGTGTCTTTTTTAAATCTTACAACAGAGGTTTGAATGTTCATCAAAGATGCTACCAAATTGGTTTCAACCAAATGTATACCGTCATTGATTTTTAGACAATGGTCAATAGTTAGCCTATTGTTAATCTTTTTATGATAATTTTCATGGTCATTTTGTAGCTTAACTTTCTAGTGTGTCAGCTAAAAGCGTCATTGACTCGATGACGATCATATGTTAACTCAACAGGCTCTGCAGCACTTCTTGAGAGAGCCTGGTCGGTTGATCTGGCTGTTGTTTACAAAATTATATTTAAGATATTGGAGAAAGATTTAAAGTATTCTAAATATGAATAAAGCACTTTTCATGTTGAGTTTGCGTGGTTATATTTAAAAAGAACAAATCTTATCAAAATATATGAATTTCACCAAAGCTATTAAAGTGTAATCTGTTGGTAGCTTTAGATGACTATGAACAATTGAGCTGGCCGAAGCATCTTTGTCTTACGACATCCTGCTGAGCCGTGTGTGTGTGGTGTGGTGTGTACGGACACACACGACAACATAGAAGCCCATTGTAGTATCTGGTTAATATCGATGATGTAGTGTTTCTTGATTTCATAGAAATATCGATAAATGTGTTTGATGAATTCCTTGGAAAATAATCAATAAATGTCATTAATTTTTTCTTAAGGAGCTGATGTAGTTATTTATTGCTGTGTGTTTCCTAGCCTCGGAGACCCAGGCTTCGCAGACGAGATTTGGACCCTGCGAGACTGTTTCCTATCTCTCCATAGAATTGAAATCGGCAACTAGTAATGTGTTCAAATGAGATCTCTTGTTCTTCTTCCACGTGGAGCACACACAAGTCTTCTACTAGACATTTTTGATTAATCAATTTTATTACAAAAATTTACAAAACAAGGTAAAAAACAAAATACTATATTGTAGGTAGCTCTATGAAATAAGCACAAGGAATTATAACTTAGAAACATAAATACAGCTGTCCATGCGAGCCCCACCATGGGAGCTCTGACAGTGGACTGATGTGAACCTAAAACATGGAAACCAGATATTTCAGAGTGAAATTGGCAGTTTGAACTTTGACTCTCAGGTAATGTGGTAATGGGAGAATGAGGCCCCTGTAACCCTGTCACAGGTGGTGATGCTATTCTATGTCTCTCCGTAATACAGCAATGACATGAAATGACGCTGTTGGGAGTGAAGGAAAGGGACATTTAAATGGGTTGTCTGTGTCACTGACATATAGCACATGACAGGGTTGGTTGACAGGGTTGCCCATCATAGAGCTAGTGTTAGGGTTAGCCTTTGGGCTGGTATAGGAACAGGAATACACAAACACTGAGTAGGCCTATGTTTTACTAGTGTTCTTCCTCGTCCTCCCATATCGCTGGGCTGGGGCATGCATTCCATTCCTATTGTTATTGTGTTGTGGACTCAGACTTATGTGGAGATGTCTGGTTGGTGAGGGTGACCCAGTCCTGTTGTGTCTAATTCTCCTGGCAGGAACCTTTAGCAACACAGGACAAATCAATGTTACTATCCATAGTCAACCAAATCACTTCACATCCACTTCAAGCCATTACAGTTGAAGTCAGAAGTTTACATACACCTTAGCCAAATACATTTAAACTCAATTCTTGACATTTAATCCTAGTAAATATTCCCTGTCTTAGGTCAGTTAGGATCACCACTTTATTTTAAGAATGTGAAATGTCAGAATAATAGTAGAGAGAATGATTTATTTCAGCTTTCATTTCTTTCATCACATTCCCAGTGGGTCAGAAGTTTACATACACTCAATTAGTATTTGGTACCATTGACTTTAAATTCTTTAACATGGGTCAAACGTTTCGGGTAGCCTTGCGCAAGCTTCCGACAATAAGTTGGGTGCATTTTGGCCCATTCCTCCTGACAGAGCTGGTGTAACTGAGTCAGGTTTGTAGGCCTCCTTGCTTGCACGCACTTTTTCAGTTCTGCCCACACATTTTCTATAGGATTGAGGTCAGGATTTTATGATGGCCACTCCAATACCTTGACTTTGTTGTACTTAAGCCATTTTGCCACAACTTTGGAAGTGTGCTTGGGGTCATTGTCCATTTGAAAGACCCATTTGCGACCAAGCTTTAACTTCCTGACTGATGTCTTGAGATGTTGCTTCAATATATCCACATAATTTTCCTTCCTCATGATGCCATCTATTTTGTGAAGTGCACCAGTCTCTCCTGCAGCAAAGCACCCCCACAGCATGATGCTGCCACCCCCGTGCTTCACGGTTGGGATGGTGTTCTTCGGCTTGCTAGTGACCCCCTTTTTCCTCCAAACATAACAAATCAAATCAAATCAAATTTTATTGGTCACATGCGCCGAATACAACAGGTGCAGACATTACAGTGAAATGCTTACTTACAGCCCTTAACCAACAGTGCATTTATTTTAAACAAAAAAAGTAAGAATAAAACAACAACAACAAAAAGTGTTGAGAAAAAAAGAGCAGAAGTAAAATAAAGTGACAGTAGGGAGGCTATATATACAGTAAAATAAAGTGACAGTAGGGAGGCTATATATACAGGGGGGTACCGTTGCAGAGTCAATGGTCATTATGGCCAAACAGTTCTATTTTTGTTTCATCAGAACAGAGGACATTTCTCCAAAAAGTATGATCTGTCACGCCCTGGCTCTAGGGACTCTTTTAAGTTGAGCCAGGGTGTGTAGAGTTTATGTTTTGTGCTCGTTGTGTCTAGTCTAGTTTTGTATATCTATGTTGGCCAGAGTGGTTCTCAATCAGAGGCAACGAGTATCAGCTGTTGCTGGTTGTCTCTGATTGGGAACCATATTTAGTCAGGTGGTTTTCCCACAGTGTTTGTGGGATCTTGTTCCGTGTTGGTTTGTGTTTTGCACCTGTGGACGTCACGTATCGATTTGTTGTTTTGTTCGTGTATCATTTAATAAATAAGTATGTTCACCTTCCACACTGCGCCTTGGTCCTCTATATCCGACGATCGTGACACGATCTTTGTCCCCATGTGCAGTTGCAAACCGTAGTCTGTCTTTTTTATGGCGGTTTTGGAGCAGTGGCTTCTTTCTTGCTGAGCGGTTTTTAAGGTTATGTCGTTATAAGACTCGTTTTACATTTACATTTTAGTCATTTAGCAGACGCTCTTATCCAGAGCGACTTACAGTTAGTGAGTGCATACATTTTCATACTGGCCCCCCGTCGGAAACGAACCCACAACCCTGGCGTTGCAAGTGCCATGCTCTACCAACTGAGCTACAGGATATAGATACTTTTGTACCTGTTTCCTCCAGCATCTTCACAAGGTCCTTTGCTGTTGTTCTGGGATTGATTTGCACTTTTCGAACCAAAGTACGTTAATCTCTAGGAGACAGAACACATCTCCTTCCTGAACGGTATGATGGCTGTGTGGTCCCATGGTGTTTATACTTGCGTACTATTGTTTGTACAGATGAACGTGGTACCTTCAGGCGTTTGGAAATTGCTCCCAAGGATGAACCAGACTTGTGGAGGTCTACAATTATTTTTCTGAAGTCTTGGCTGATTTCTTTTGATTTTCCCTTGATGTCAAGCAAATAGGCATCGAGTTTGAAGGTAGGCCTTGAAATACATCCACAGGTACACCTCCAATTGACGCAAATGATGTCAATTAGCCTATCAGAGCCATGACATCATTTTCTGGAATTTTCCAAGCTGTTTAAAGGCACAGTCAATTTAGTGTATGTAAACTTCTGACCCACTGGAATTATAAGTGAAATAATCTGTCTGTAAACAATTGTTGGAAAAATTACTTGTGTCATGCACAAAGTAGATGTCCTACCGACTTGCCAAAACAATAGTTTGTTAAAAAGAAATTTGTGGAGTGGTTGAAAAACGAGTTTTAATGACTCCAACCTAAGTGTATGTAACCTTCCGACTTCAACTGTATATGGCCACTTTGTCCTGTCCAACAAGAGGAGTACAACGAAAAAAACATTTAAAACTTTGTCTTTATCCACTCACAGGTTCCGAGGCGTTCCTCGAGGAAGCCGATCTGTTCGCTAAGCGAGTCGATGCGATCCAGCTGCTGGAAGGAGTGGGACAGGAAGCTGGTTTTCTCAGACACGCCCTCGTCCAGTGACATGGGGAACAGACTGGTGAAGGGGGCCAGGACCAACTGGAGCTTCTGGAGAGGAGGGAGAGGAGGGAGAGGATAGGGAGAGAGGAGATTGGGAGAGCGAGGGGAGAGGTTTGGAAGAGGGAGGCAGGAGAGAGAAGGGAAGAGAGAGGGGGAGAGGTTTGGAAGAGGGAGGCAGGAGAGAGAAGGGAAGAGAGAGGGGGAGAGGATTGGGAGAGGGAGGCAGGAGAGAGAAGGGAAGAGAGAGGGGGAGAGGTTTGGAAGAGGGGGAGAGGGAGGCAGGAGAGGAGAAGGGAAGAGAGAGGGGGAGAGGTTTTGGGAGAGGGAGACAGGAGAGAGAAGGGAAGAGAGAGGGGGAGAGGAGAGAGAAGGGAAGAGAGAGGGGGAGAGGTTTGGAAGAGGGAGACAGGAGAGAGAAGGGAAGAGAGAGGGGGAGAGGTTTGGAAGAGGGAGAGAGGAGAAGGGCAGTGGGAGGGAGAAAATATGAGGGGGTTTAGTTAGGGGTGCCCAAGTGCTTTCATACTGTTAAACATCATTAACTAATCAATCAATGTGTTCCCAGCACCACTGTACTGTATGTGACTAACACAACAACAGAGAGGATGACAGCAATACAGACCGTCTTGCCATCGCAGCGGTCGCTGTAATGTGAAAGTACTGCTATATTATACGGATCCTCCCATTTCAGCTGCCTGCATCCCCTCATTCACTTTTACTGTAATGCACGGAGCATTAACGACATGACTTCTAATGAAAAACTCAAAGACGTTTAAAAGGTCACTATGACAGTCTGGCGTTTCAAAGGATACTGGGTTTTGTGAGTGCGTGTGTTCTCTGTTGATTAACAAATGTTAATGATTACATCTTGAGTGGTATTTGATAATACACCAGCGTAACAGTCTAACTTGTGTCTGCCTGGGGATGGTTCAGGGTGGGTGGTAGATGCTAGAGGGGCACTGGCAAGGGTTTAAGGGGGACTTTACAAGGGGCATGTACACTGGATAGGGAGGGAGAGGGTATGTACGCCTGTTTGTGAGAGGGTGTGAATGTGTGTGTACAAATGTTTTCCTACTTTATCAGGACCACAATCTCCTGACAAGTCACCAGAATGTTCTGACAAGGTAGGAAAACAACATATTTTTTGAAAAGTCAGGACTTTTTTAATGTCCTGAAATTGTTAAAATTCAATTTTTGGCTTGAGGGTTAGGTTTAGAGTGTGGGGTTAGGGAAAATAGGATTTTGAATGGGAATACATTTTTACTCCCCAGAAAGTCCTGAAAATTCCCCAAAGCATAGCTGTGTTGCAGGTGATGGTAGAGGACAGGGGGTGCAGTCATACCTGCTCCAGCAGCTCTACTCTTTTCTTCAGGCTCTGGACCTCCTCTGTGACGTTCTCAGTCAGCCCAAACCTTCCACCTGTAGACAACACACACAAACACATGAAAATACTGTGGATCACCAGTATCTAAAACACCCTCTAACAGCTCAATCTCTCCCAGATGTGAACTACTGAGACGAGCGGAAAGGGAGGAGGGGGAGGAATGACCCCCAGCAGATGAAGCTGGAATGAGAGCGGGAGTCCCAGGCCAAGAAGAGAGAGAGAAGGAAGAAAAAAGATGGAGGGAGGAAGGAGGGGTTCAGACGTGAGCTGTTACGGTCTGAGCAGGGCATTTATTCCCATGTTTATCTTGGTGATCTTCATCAACATCAGACCTCAGCCTAGATATGAACAGTTCATGGATATAATATGACCATTAACCAAGACAATACTGCTGCTGATGTTGATGCTGCGGCAGCCTGCTGGCCTTGCACTTTGTTGGCCAGGAGAACAGAACTGTACTGAGCCTGCACATATTCCCCCGGCGTCACTTTCACCAAGTACAATCTGTCATGTTTTTTACTGCTGTTTTTGTCTCTTTGTGTCTTTTAGTGTGTAAGACAATCTCTCCTGTATATCTCACCTCTATCCAGACAGACAGACAGACAGACAGACAGACATAAGAGTAGAGGAAATGATTAGTCTTTCTTTATGTGCGTACAGTATTGTACTGTATGCTCATTGTACTACAGTTTACTGGCTAACACAGTCTGAGAGAAATGGGAATTTTCTTGGGTTCCATCCAGACACTTCTAGACAGGGGAGGTTATTTTAGCCTGTTGCTAAGTTACGCCAAACACAGCACATCTATGGGAACTATGTTTTTCCTTTTCTTCAGTAATATGCAGCAGTTTAGAGAATAGCTTGAGTGTGTGAAAGTGTTGGAGAGGAAGATGTTTCACTCGATACTAAAGGAACGTTTTGTAACGGTTGGAAGTTTTCCTAAGTTAAAGATGGGGAAGGTAAGTCTACATCAGGGATGGGCAACTGCCCCCCCCCCCCCCCCCCCTCCCCCCTCCCGCAGATAGTTAGAATAGTAGAACAACATTTAGCTTAGGGACCCTGGCCCCAAAAGGCTAGGGACCGGCTCTGACTGCATGTGTGGGTATGGATGTGGGTATGCAGACCCACAAGCCACTGCAGCCCCTCATGATGAGTTCTGATTTTTTGTGGCCCCCACCCCCATCAAAGTTGCCCATACCTGGTCAACATCAAACGGTTAGCTGATGTTCAAATAGTGGTTATCAGCATGGTTCATCAGGTCATACCGTACTGTACATGACCACACACTGTTGGTTGCTGACCGCATGTGGTCCACTTACAGTTGGTCTATCAATCTTTGTTATACTGGTTATCAGTGTGGTCCATCTGGTCATACCATACCCGACCACACTTTGTTGGTTGTTGACTGCATGCGGTCCACTTCGCAGTCTGTACCAGTCTCAGTGCATTATTACTCACGGTACGAGTAGAGTTTGGCATAGCGCGTACCAAAAGTAATAATGGACCAAGAGCCTGGCTGTGGTCCTGTCTGTCCTCCTCTTCACTCCCATAGGAGGCTTTGCTGAAACACACGCATACACACACGACACACATGCATACACACACATGCTTGCACGCACACACACATAGCACACACACACACGTGATTGATTATCATGTCTGCGGATAAAGATAATGGTGGAGGTGTACCTGTATCACTGGAGGGGGGTCTGTGATCGTTTGCTGCTGTCTGACTGGGGCGGGTGGGAGGGGCAGGAGAAGGAGGAAGGTTCTCACAGGAGTGTGCGTCTCCTGCCAGCCTGTAGCCCTCTCTGCACACACAGCGGTAGCTACCTGCCATGTTCACACACTGATGAGAACAGGGCTGCTGCTCACTGCACTCATCCACATCTGACAGAGAGAGGGAGGAGAGACTGGGTGTCACTGATATTGTTTATTATAGTGTACAAGCATTAGTGTGTATGCTTGCGCACGTGCGAGAGAGCGTATGTGTTCATGCATGAGCGCGTGTGTGTGTGTGTGTGTGTACCTGTTTGGCAGTGGCGTCCCATCCAGCCCAGAGGACAGGCACAGTAGTTGGGTCTTAAACATGTTCCTCCGTTCACACAGGACTGGCCACACACCGCTGGAGAGGACAGAGAGAAACTGAATAAAAATGAAAACATACACACAGCATACTAGGAGAGTGTAAGCCCCCGTTACCTTGGTTACAGTTGTGTGAGTGGAGTCGTCGCCAGCCCGGGCAGCATTCTGGGTAAGAATGTGAGACTGGCACTGCTCTGGTCACCTGACGGTACGCCACCCTGTACACTGTCCTGGAGAAACACACAACAGAAAGTGACAGCTAGGTCAGACAGGGTCTTTACTGCCCACACAGAGCCAGTCAAATGGGTGTGAGTAATGATCCTGAGAAATTGAGACTAGTCTAACACTGTTGAGTAGCATTTGGTCCGATTCCCCTGTCTGACAACACTGTGTGCGTGCGGAGCTCCTGGAGTTTTCTCCATGTCAGCAGAGAAGAATGTAGAATGAGAATTCACAGGAATCTTAGGCTAGACCATGGACCAATGGTTACCAAGTGTGTGTGTGACAAGGGGGGTAGGATGTGGAAAGGATGGTAGGGGGTGAGGTTGACGCCAAGCCAGTTCTGTGTTCTGCTGTTTCACTGAAATCTGCTCAAATGTTTCCTGGCATTGTCCTCAGTGAGAGGGGAGAGAGGGAGAGAGAGAGGGAAAGAGAGAGAGGGCGAGAGAGAGGGAAAGAGAGAGAGGGAGAGAGAGAGGAAGAGAGAGAGGGCGAGAGAGAGGGAAAGAGAGAGGGAAAGAGAGAGAGGGAGAGCGAGAGGGAGAGAGAGAGGGAAAGAGAGAGAGGGAAAGAGAGAGGGCGAGAGAGAGGGAAAGAGAGAGGGAAAGAGAGAGAGGGAGAGCGAGAGGGAGAGAGAGAGAGGGAAAGAGAGAGAGGGAGCCTCACAAAAGATGTCTCACAAATTAATCAGTAACATCAGCCTCATGGTGGGAAGGAAAGTTTATAATTATAGTTGTCGGCTGGGAGAGGTCTGCTGCGTTGCCCACATTACTGTGCAGAGAGAGAGAGAGAACAAGGGAAAGGGAGAATGAAGGAGAGAGAGAAATGAAGGAGGGAAAGAATGAAAGAGTGCGTAAGCACGGAGGGAGAGGTTGTCCAAGATAAACACAGCAGTGGTCTCTGTGGGCTGGCTGTTCATTTCCCGTAGTTACACAAATTGCTTGATATTTATATTCCACCAAAATATGTACCGCCGTGACCCACTTCTGTGTCCAAGTATGATATGAGAGAGAGACAAAGAGAGACATAGAGAGAGAGGGGGGGGGAGAGAGAGAGACAGAGAGAGGGGTGGGGAGGAGAGAGACAGAGACAGAGAGAGAGGGGGGGGGGGGGGAGAGGAGAGACAGAGAGAGGGGGGAGAGAGAGGGAGAGAGAGAGGGGGGACGGGAGAGAGAGGGGGGGAGAGGGGAGAGAGGAGGAGAGGGAGGGAGGGGGGGAGAGAGAGAGAGAGAGGGGGGGAGAGGAGAGAGAGAGAAGAGGGGGGGTAAAGGGGGGAGGGAGAGAGAGACAGAGAGGGAGGGGGTAGGGAGGGAGAGAGAGACAGAGAGGGGGGGGGGAGAGAGCATAGAGAGGGGGTGAGGAGGAGGGAGGGAGAGGACAGAGAGGGAGGGGGGGAGGGGAGAGAGAGACAGAGAGAGGGGTGGGGGAGAGAGAGCAGAGACAAGAGAGAGGGGGGGAGTCGGAGCGAGACGGAGAGAGACATGGAGAGAGGGGGGGAGAAAGAGGGAGGAGAAGAGAGAGACAGAGGGGGAGAGAAAGAGGGAGAGTGCCGAGAGAGGGGGGAGAGAGAGACAGAGAGAGGGGGGAGAGGGAGAGAGACAGAGGGAGGGGGAGAGAGAGAGACAGAGAGGGGAGAGAGAGACAAGGGGGGGGGGGGGAGGAGAGAGACATGGAGGCGGGGGTAGAGAGAGACAAAAACAGAGATGGAGCGAGGACAGCGGCAGGTCTTCTACTGGAGGGATAAGACTCATCAACTCTGTCAAAACATATCAGGAGTTGTTTACCTTCTTTAGAGCGTAGCCCAGCTAACAAATAAACATTGTAGAACATTGTATAAACCTCACCGTAACATCTTCTGTGTCAGAGATTAATGTATTGCATGAGGTTGGCTGAGGCCAGACTGTATAGACAATGCTAAATATGTGGTCCTCTGTAGCTCAGTTGGTAGAGCATGGCTCTTGCAATGCCAGGATAGTGGGTTCGATTCCCATACATAAAAATAAAAAATAGAAAAGCGTCTGCTAAATGGCATATATTAAATATGGTACAGCTGGGAACAGACTGGACGATGGTCCCTGCTTGTGTAGTTAATAAATGATGTCCTGTTTGGGCAGAGTTGAATGGGCAGTGATATGGACCTTGTGGTGTCATTAGCATGGTATTAGGGGTGTGCTGACATGGCCATATTCGTACCTGTAAATTTACAGTTGATAGTCGAATCGGATGATACTCATGATCTAAAAAAAATTAAACGTTTTAATATGCCTAACTAGATGTTGGAAAAATACCTATCTCCCTGCACGTTTATAGACCAAACAAGCTGCAGATTAGGAGCCATAGAGTGGTCTGTATCCTCAACAAGTTTGCTATCAGTCAGAATGCGCGTCAGCATTCCATATTTTTCCCTACCCTCGCCCTGCTTGTTAGATATTATGCACATGATAGTTTGATAGCAAACGTCCTTGCCATATGATGTATCATAGTAGCAGACTAACAAAAGGTAGCAGTAATGTTCCCTCAAATTTTGGGGGGCACTGAGCAAATTTTAGGTCTTGTGAGCGGAAATTTGAACTTGCGTTTAAGGTGACAACTGAGGCTATACCCTTACAGTTTTAGACAGTAGGCAATAGGCTATTGTGGCTATTTAAGTATAATGTAGGCCTAACAACAAAACCAATGGAGCAAATCCCATAACATTTTCACATGGAAATAGCTTTTGATTTCTATGATATAGTCTACAGTAGCCTATATGTGGTGTCCAATGCAGGCCTACATTGCATGAGACTTTTAAAAACCTTTTTACATTATGAAGAGCTTGACATTAATTTATGATTTTTTTACTTGGTCTGTAACACCATGGGCCAAATAGGGGACTGTAAATTGCATTGTATTGTGTTGCATAATGCAAGAAACCACTTTACAAAATACCATTTATTATTATTACTATACAGAGAATTTGACAATGTAGGCAACCCCTCTGCCTATTGGCTTATTTGCATATTCAAGCCTGTCTCAAAATACAACACTGCCCCTTTAATTAAGACATAAGCTTTTTACCTGACTGGTTTTTTCAAAGACAGCTTGAAATGTAGCCTACACATTTTGTGCTCTTGTAGGAAGCAGTAACTCCCCATTGCTGACCTATACTTATCTATAACCCAGCTAATAACTCGGTAACTAGCAAAGAAGATCAACAAATGTGCACACCACCCTGCGGTCTGATCTGAACTGATCTGAAAAGCGCATTCACTGTCAGGTGATTGAAAGACTGCACTTGGGCTACCCCCGCCAATAGAATTATACTCCTGTTGCACTCTGGCTCTGCCTACAACAAAATCACAGACTCAATCTTGCAAAGTTAGATTTGTTTTGGATTGTTGCATTGAAAAGGGGCTGATATAATGTTGATTCGATCACAGAAAAAACGTTGATCTATATAGTGCAAACTAAAGGGGCGGACTCAGTGAAGTTCAATCTCTTGCGTCTCTGCGTGGCCTGGCATTTGTTCTGCGTGGCAGTCCTGGAGGAGGTGCGCAGCCGCGCACGCATGCAGCTTAGAGGGAACATTGGGCAGCAGCAGTCTGAATGATCAGACCAAAACAGAGAAGTGAAAGTGATCGGGTGAAATTATGAAGCAAATGGACCGAGAAATACAGCTTCACTCTATCCAATTAGTTCAGCAGAATCAACGTACAGCCCGCCCTTCTCTTTACAGACAGGCAAACTAGCCAGTTGAGTTATTTAGACTACGTAGCACCTCACCTGACTGACTGACATGAGAAAGATGCCTTCTGGCACCCGAAAAGTAATTTATTTCCGATCACGGATAATTACAAAAAATACTCCAATCATAATTGTATCCAGAAAATTGCCCATATTCCTTTACGATACTCATTTTGTCCGACTAATCGGCACACCTCTACTGTACATGGTATTATGATAAGATTAGGTGGGATGTTCCCACTGGGCACAGACGTCAATTCAATGTCTATTCCACGTTGGTTCAACGTCATGTGGAAACAACGTTGACTCAACTAGTGTGTGCCCAGTGGGTTTGCAGTGATAGCGACAGTAGTGGTCTTGAGAGTCATGGCTGTGTCTCTTACTTGTAGGTGCTACAGAGGCGGTGCCCCTGACACAGGGTGATGTAGGGTTTGTGAACGGGCTGGACGAACGACTCTGTCGTTGTGACGACACTGCTGTGATGGATATCTGTGCCACACATCCTCCTCCTGCAACACACAGGTAGGAACACACATGTGAGACCACACACACAGGTAGAGACTAGTGAGGTATTCTTTGGAACATATGAGAACTGTGGGTCCGATTCCTGGGTCCACCCATACGTAAAAAAGTGATGCATGCTTAACTGTTAAAAGCATCTGCTAATTGGCATATATTATATTAAATTAGGACTCTGTCGTTATCAGTCTGTCACTGTGTTAGGTTTAACAGCTAGCTACACTCCAAGTCATGAAATTCAACATAATCATAAATCTTTGACATCAAATGAACCATTTACTTATGTTGGAAGTGAAATTCACTGACAGGAATTGTAATGGTTTAAAATGTGAAATTACACCACTTACTCTCTATTCCCTCTGAAGCGTTCACCTATAGAATGTGCTGTGTCAGGGACAGTTTGAGACTGGGTTTAAAACCTGGTGTGGTGGTCTCTCTTAACCAGTCTGAGAACTAATCAGTCGGTCAAGCATTTTAACCCTAAATTGATGACGTGACCTCGAGGTCTCTGTGTCAATGGCAGTTAACTGACATGTAATTGATGCTGATTGGCCAATGTAATTGCCACTGAACCTGTCAGAGTTGAGAGTCACCTCTAACCTTTCATCGCCCTTTGATCTTTCGTGAGGGTTGTAGTTTGTTTTGGTCTCTGGCCAAATCAACTGAGATCTCAAAGATAGAACCTGCATCTCCTTAGAGTTGACATAGGTCTAATAGTATTAAGACAGGCGGGTTGAGCTTTGGTGGTCCCAAAGTGTCACCGTCGTTAATGTTTAACTGTATATCAGTATACATTTACTCAGGGTGAGAATGTTAAGTGAAGCAAATAACCATTTTAAATATATACAGTGAGGGAAAAAAGTATTTGATCCCCTACTGATTGTGTACGTTTACCCACTGACAAAGAAATGATCAGTCTATAATTTTAATGGTAGGTTTATTTGAACAGTGAGAGACAGAATAACAACAAAAATATCCAGAAAAACGCATGTCAAAAATGTTATAAATTGATTTGCATTTTAATTAGGGAAATAAGTATTTGACCCCCTCTCAATCAGAAAGATTTCTGACTCCCAGGTGTCTTTTATACAGGTAACGAGCTGAGATTAGGAGCACACTCTTAAAGTGAGTGCTCCTAATCTCAGCTTTTTACCTGTATAAAAGACACCTGTCCACAGAAGCAATCAATCAATCAGATTCCAAACTCTCCACCATGGCCAAGACCAAAGAGCTCTCCAAGGGATGTCATGGACAAGATTGTAGACCTACACAAGGCTGGAATGGGCTACAAGGACCATCGCCAAGCAGCTTGGTGAGAAGGTGACAACAGTTGGTGCGATTATTTGCAAATGGAAGTAACACAAAAGAACTGTAAATCTCCCTCGGCCTGGGGCTCCATGCAAGATCTCACCTCGTAGAGTTGCAATGATCATGAGAACGGTGAGGAATCAGCCCAGAACTACACGGGAGGATCTTGTCAATGACCTCAAGGCAGCTGGGACCATAGTCACCAAGACACTACGCCGTGAAGGACTGAAATCCTGCAGCGCCCTCAAGGTCCCCCTGCTCAAGAAAGCACATATACAGGCCTGTCTGAAGTTTGCCAATGAACATCTGAATGATTCATAGGAGAACTGGGTGAAAGTGTTGCGGTCAGTTGAGACCAAAATCAACCTCTTTGGCATCAACTCAACTTGCCGTGTTTGGAGGAGGAGGAATGCTGCCTATGACCCCAAGAACACCATCGCACCGTCAAACATGGAGGTGGAAACATTATGCTTTGGGGGTTTTTTTCTGCTAAGGGGACAGGACAACTTCACCGCATCAAAGGGACGATGGACGGGGCCATGTACCGTCAAATCTTGGGTGAGAACCTCCTTCCCTCAGCCAGGGCATTGAAAATCGGTCGTGGATGGGTATTCCAGCATGACAATGAACCAAAACACACGGCCAAGGCAACAAAGGAGTGGCTCAAGAAGAAGCACATTAAGGTCCTGGAGTGGCCTAGCCAGTCTCCAGACCTTAATCCCATTGAAAATCTGTGGAGGGAGCTGAAGGTTCGAGTTGCCAAACGTCAGCCTCGAAACCTTAATGACTTGGATAAGATCTGCAAAGAGGAGTGGAACAAAATCCCTCCTGAGATGTGTGCAAACCTGGTGGCCAACTACAAGCAACGTCTGACCTCTGTGATTGCCAACAAGGGTTTTGCCACCAAGTACTAAGTCATGTTTTGCAGAGGGGTCAAATACTTATTTCCCTCATTCAAATGCAAATCAATTTGTAACATTTTTGACATGCGTTTTTCTGGATTTTTTTGTTGTTATTCTGTCTCTCACTGTTCAAATAAACCGAACATTAAAATTATAGATTGATCATGTCTTTGTCAGTGGGCAAACGTACAAAATCAGCAGGGGATCAAATACTTTTTTCTCTCACTGTAGCCTTCAATTAACTGCGTAAATGGTTGGTGTGTAACTGAAGCTAAAGGCCCATGTAGCCGAGCCATCCCAAGGACCAATAGCTTAACCGACCAATGAGTGACGGCCAATAACAAACACAGGAAATGGAATGAGGGAGCGGTTACCCATGGAACTGTGGAGTGGCCATCACATGGAGGATGAAGAGTGAGGAGGAGATGAGGAGTGTTTGGTACATGTCTCCCTCTTCTTTCTCACGTTCACTCGGTCTTTCCCTCGCTCTCTCTGTCCGATGGGAGAAGAAAGGAGGATGAGGGGAAGGGGAGAAGGGCTGTGGCTGTGTCTCTCTCACTCTCTCTCTCTCTGATGTTAGAGCCCCTTGTGTTAGACCTCTAGCAGGATGATGACAGCTACCTGTAGGGACACACAGAGGGACAAACACAGAGGTTAGGGGTCAGAAAGTGAATAGTAACTTCTGTTCACTCTTTCATGCATTTCCACTTGACGTTTCCACTCCACTTGTGATGCACAGACGACCCGGGTTTGAACCCCAGTTGGTCATTGCAACATATATCACCTTTTAGAGAAACCTTGATAGAAATAAGTTAACTGAGTTCTAACATCAGAGACAGTACTAGCTTCCTTCTCCACTCTCATATCTGATGTGGAAGGCTTAAGTGTTACCCCCACTTATAAACACGCAAACAGAATCCATCTCCTAACATTCCAGAAAACATCTCTCTATAGCGTAATATGGGCCACTTGAGAGACTCACTCTGACCAATGAATGCTGTCATACTGTCAGCTGTGTCGTGTCAGTGAGAACACTTAAACCACCCACCCCCTCTCCCTCCTCCTCCTCCTCCCACTCCTCCTCGCCCCCCTTCTTTTTTTTACCATTATTTTACCAGGTAAGTTGACTGAGAACACATTCTTATTTCCAGGAACGACCCGGGGAATAGTTACAGGGGAGAGGAGGGGGGATGAATGACCCAATTGGAAGCTGAGGATGATTGGGTGGCCAAGATGATATGAGGGCCAGATTGGGAATTTAGCCAGGACACTGGGGTTAACACCCCTAAACTTCCACTAGAGCTTCACCCAGAGCTACCCTGAAAGCATTAGACCAGTAGAGCTGTGGTGAAAGGTCCTAATAGAGGACATTAAACAGTGTCAGAGCCCAGTCTCCAACCCCCATCTACCACACTTTAGTCATAAACAATTCGCTTTAAAGGGCAGGTAGGGTTGAGCACGCTGAAATATTACAGACTTACTGCTTGACTTTGAACCTCAAATCGAGTTCTGGAGTGATAGTGTAACATAAAGAGCAATGGGCAATGTAATAATTTAAGTTAAAACAGATGGTGCATACTGTTCTAATACTATGCCAAGGTTGAATCTGCAGTGAAGAGTGTAGCTCTGTTACTAAAATAAGGCCAGGATTCAATCCGGAAGATCCACGTTGTAGCGCGGTTGACATTTCTGATTGAGCCAACATCTGCATTGTTTGAATGCCGTCTCTACGACTGCGGTAACATTGCCTTTAAATGGTGCATTGCCAAAATGAGATGATCAGATTGAATCCTGGCCTAAGATGTTGTAATGGAATGGGGTACAGGTGGGGGGTTTGAGAGGTAGACACACACACACACACAGAAAGACAGAAAAAAAAGAGAGAGAGAGGTCAAGTCAGAGACTCAGAGAAACAGTACGACTCGCTCTGTATTATAAGAAATGTGCCAGTGATTAACATACCAGCACTGACATTTATTTCACTTGACTGCAAATGACTCGTTCAACATTCACTACATTCACACTAGGGTTGAATGGCGGGAACCCGGTTACCGAGATTTACCGCCCAAAACCACTCCATTTTCCCAGAGATAAATAACAGTGAGAAACCAGTAAATTATAATAAATTATATATATGAACAGCATGGCGTGAAATAGAACTGTTAAATTATATGCAATGTCTAAATCTGGCTTCTCTATGGCCTCTGCATGATGAATCATCAATGCTCAGGGTGGGGACAGACAGCCCATCTCAGTATGGAGCGCAGTTCACAATGCATTATATACCTATCATCTCATCATGGTAACTTTTTTTCTTGTGACAGATAGGCCTAGTTTGGTGCAGCATAGCCTATGCTACAGTAATATAAAGACAGAATGCATGTAATTTACCCATCTCCATCTGGCCACCTTCGGGGTCACCTCATTTTTTTATTGCAAAGATTGTATTTATTTATTGCAGCTGCAGTTTTAAAACAGCCCATCACTCAAATATCGTTGCTTTAAATCAGTGCACGCCGAGCACTCTCTCGCAGTCTCTTTCTCTCCTTCAACTCCATTCAAATTGCATCCAAAATAGAAAATCCTGTTCTAGATTGATATATAGCCCTATATATAGATGTCCTAGCCTACCTCTTTCAGGTAATATAATTCAATGCAGTATTAGCCTTATATTTAGCTAATTAATGATGGGTTATGCATAATGCGCTTCTAACTTATAGCCTCTGTCTCTTGCACAATACGCACACACCTGTGTTCCGCTGGCCTCTCTCGTTAAAAAATGCTTCTTAGCTCTTGGAGTCCCATGCAGGAAAAGCTAGACTAGAATAGCATTTCTTAAACCAATAGACTATTCGAAGAGGGACGCAAGCTCTTGTTTACTGAATGTTAAATACAGCAGCCAATAGAACTCACGGGTAGTTCGAAAGAAGAGTGAACGCGCGATGGTGAAGTGAAAGCCTTCTGCATCTAATTCTAGTCCTATATTATTCAAGGATGCCATTAGAATGATGAAGATAAGGACAACAAAACTTATTTCATTTAACTGTTGAAAGCGAGGAAGGAATGAAGCAACAATAGAGAGAGAAAGAGGAGGTAGGCTAATAACATTAGGGGAAATATTATGGAAGGTATCTATGTGTCAGCCTACTAATTATACAAATAGGCTATTATTTTTCCAAATTAAAATCTAATTCGCTAGCCTCTACTTGTAACTTTGTAGGCTGCATGTGCTGCACCAGATTTGCATGTTCTCTTCTGCTTTATCATGTGTGTAATTCCAGTCCATATAATCCAGTATAATACAATACAGTACTGTAATACAGTCCACACACAAAAAGATTAACCTACTGGAGCTAGTTTCATTTATTTACAAAGAGAGCATATAGCTAGCTACATCTATGGGCTTTTATGTTTTTCTGTCATGTGTAATGTGCAGTAGCCTATGTCATATATGTATTGGATAACAGCACAATCATTTGGGCTTTTTTGGGCTTGTGAGCTAGATGGTTTGTCGGGCGGTAGGTTGTGTGTGTGGGTGGGTGGGCGGGCGCGTGTGTCTATGTCCATGTGTGGGTGTAAACATTGACCATGCTCTCTTTGCTGGGTTAATGTTCCCTGCTAACCAACATCCTGTAGACTCCTCTGTCACTGGACCCCTACTGTCCCAGTACATCACTGGGGCCAAGCTTCCTGACATCCAGGACCTGTATACCAGGCGGTGTCAGAGGAAGGCCCAAAAAATTATCAAAGACTCCAGTCACCCAAGTCATAGACTGTTCTCTCTGCTACCGCACGGCAAGCGGTACCGGAGCGCCAAGTCTAGGACCAAAAGGCTCCTTAACAGCTTCTACCCCCAAGCCATAAGACTGCTGAACAATCAAATGGCCACCCGGACTATTTACATTGACCCCCCTCCTCCCTTTGTTTTTCCACTGCTACTACTCACTGTTTATTATCTATGCATAGTCACTTTACAAATTACCTTGACTAACCTGTACCCCCGCACACTGACTCGGTACCGGTACCCCTGTATATAGCCTCATAATTTTTATGTAATTAACTTGTGTTACTTTTTGATTTAATTTAATTTTTTGACTTTAGTTTATTTAGTAAATATTTTCTTAACTCTATTTATTGAACTGCATTGTTGGTTAAGGGCTTGTAAGTAAGCATTTCACTGTGTTGTATTCGGTGCATGTGACAAATAAAATGTGATTTGATTTGATGATGACATGTCATGCTTCCGAGTGGCGCAGCAGTCTAAGGCACTGCATCTCAGTGCTTGAGGTGTCACTACAGACCCTGGTTCGATTCCAGGCTGTATCACAACCGGCCGTGATTGGGAGTCCCATAGGGCCACGCACAATTGGCCCAGCATCGTCCGGGTTTGGCCGGTGCAGGCCGTCAATGTAAATAAGAATTTGTTCTTAACTGACTTGCCTAGTTAAATAAAGGTAAAATAAAAAATAAAAATGAGAGGGCTGTTTACCCGTCACTCCCCACCACAGCCAGGCCACAGGGAGAAAGGTGACATCATGGGGTGTCTATTCCCTATGTAGTGCATTACATTTGACCAGGGCAGATAGGGCTCTGGTCAACAGTAGTGTACTATGTAGAGAATAGGGTGCCATTTGGGACTCACCCATGGAGCCAACAGGGCGGTCTGGATGATAATAATAAGATAATATGCCATTTAGCAGACGCTTTTATCCAAACCGACTAACATCATGTGTGCATACATTTTTACGTATGGGTGGTCCCGGGGGATCGAACCCACTACCCTGCCGTTACAAGCGCCATGCTCTACCTGCTGAGCTACAGAGGACCACATGATGCCCTGAGAAACCGCACCGCTGGTTTAGTGTTTTTATTAGAACCCCTGATCCGCCCTAAAACCCAGGACATTGTTATAGCTCTGTTATATTGTCTATTGACTCACACACACACACATACCCACACCAAGGCGACACACACACACACACACACATGCATACATATAACGCACATGCACGTGCGCACACACACATACACACACAGAGACAGATCCTTTGTGAGGCCAGGGTGAACTCACACTGACCTGTATTTCAGAACATAAAGTGAAGATAGGTCTACCTCCAGCTCTGTCCCATAATCTCTTCCTAGCTCCCTTTACACTCTGTTAGATTGATGGAGAACTATAGCAGGAGTTTGGTTAACCTTCAGAAGAGCTGGGGGTACTCTGACTCTGAATGTTGATTTAGCCTCCAAGAGAGCAGTATGATGGCACTACAGTTAACCTGGGTTACATCCCAAATGGCACCCTATTCCCTATATAGTGCACTACTTTTGACCAGGGCTCATAGGGCTCTGGTCAAATGTAGTGCACTATATAGGGAATAGGGTGCCATTTGGGATGAAAAAGCAGACCTGGAGTTGATCCTATATAGGCCAGAGCCTTGGTTCTTG